CCAAACCTGAAAACAGCTGCAAGGGTTCCTTGGTATGACTGGCTTATGCTGAACTTGGGTCCCATCCTGTGGCCAACTAGCCAAACCTCTGAGAAATTAAGAGGGACGGCTCGACTGGGACTTAGCATGCATGCACCCAAGCTTTTGAACAATGAAAAGCCGTGATCACGGCCCCAGCTTTGGGGCTACCCAAACTAGATAGGCCCTGTAAACTGGGCCAGCCTGTCGCCAGAAACTAGACGTAGCTAGAGGATGGCCTGCTTGTCCTACAGTGGCCACCTCCCTGCTAGTAAGGGTGACTTTGTCCTCACCCCCCAGTCTGTCTTCCCACTGTATCTACAGCCCTCATGCAAGGGGAACGCTTGTTGGGGAACTGACCAACGCCAACTGCCGTGCCACTTTCCAGGTCTCACGGATGTGAAAACATGACGGCCTGAGGACTTGTAAGTTGCTGAAACTCAGGAGGCAGGGACTGGAAAGAAAACGGATAAAACTCATGGGCCACATTAACTACTCAGTGTTTTTTCTTTTGTGGCCTAACATACTGCTTTCCTGGTTCCTGAGTCAAAAAACAAAAGCTCCAGTGAGTGTTAACTTATCAAATGTCCAGACCCCTCCCAAGTTCACCCTGTGGGGGGAGTCCAAGCGCAGTATTCTATCGGGATAAGGCCCTGAATGCCATGCAACAGTTACATCCATTTACTCCTGGCTGCACAAGGGACCACTTTTAAAAGCTTAAACATTGCCCTTGCTCTGTCCACAGTGCTAAATGGATGGGGACCTGGTCTCTGGCACACCCGACGTGACAGTTAAATTAGACCCACAGCTGGGGGCCTCTTCCAGTGGGATAGATGAAGACCTCATTAAGGATATGTTACTACACAGACATAATTTGGGACAACAGTGCTTTTCTTCTAGTCTACACTTGCCAGGTAATAGAGCCAGCCCCTCATTCCACTGTTCTTGGGTCTCCTGGTCTAGCAGGACTGGCCACAGGAGGACTTGCATTGCATGCTTTTCTCAACTAGCTATACTGCCCAGACCTTTAGCCAATCCCAGTGCCCTGGTGGCCATGGTCTTACAAAACCGCGGCGCCTTAGATCTCACTGCAAGCCAGGAGGGAACATTTTACTACAGGCGGGTGCCGGAAGAGATGAAAGGCCTGCTGGAGCAGGCAGCAAACAGACGGGTGAGGAACTTGGCTGGTGATGACCCCATGCCTGCCTTGGCTCTTGTCTTTTCTCGGCCCTGCTGTGACTACCCTTTTGGCCCTACTTTTTGGACCATGCTTACTTAAAATGCTTCATTTCAAATCATCTCCAGCAACTTCAAAGTAAAATCTGTTGCTGTGTGGTTAGAAGCCCACCTTGGGGTCAGATTATCTAGATTTTGAACAGAACAGATAGAGACCTCTACTCTGGCTAGACTGGCCAGTGCCCCCATACAGCAGGAAAAAGCTACAGAAAGTATGAAGTCTTGGGAAGGTGAGTGGTTAGGCAGACTCACCTTGGCTTATTAACAGAAGTACCAGTCAGTCAGCGGACAGAGACCAAATTGGAAAGCCCATCAAGTGTGTGGGTCCTTGTCTGCCAGTTTAAATCTTCACTAGAGGCAGAGGGACAGTGAAAAGGAGCTCTTATATTCAGAGAAGGGGAAACACTATAAAGCAGGGAGCCCTTCTCCAGGTCAAGACAGCGCCAGCCCCTGGTCAGACTGTTACTGGAAGACTTGTCATTAATTCAGTGGTGCCAGTCAGCCTCTATTGTGGACTCTTGCCTCCTGTGGAGCTCAGCCCTAAAACTTTGGTGGGAAAGAGAACAAAAAGATACTGGGGTACAAAAACAAAGCATAAATACAGGACAGAAATAGACTCACGGACAGAGAATACAGACTTGTGGTTACCAGGGGGGTGGAGGGTGGGAAGGGATAGACTAGGATTTCAAAATTGTAGAATAGATAAACAAGATTACACTGTATAGCACAGGGAAATATACACAAAATGTTATGATAACTCAGAGAAAAAATGTGACAATGAGTGTGTATATGTCCATGAATGACTGAAAAATTGTGCTGAACACTGGAATTTGACACAACATTGTAAAATGATTATAAATCAATAAAAAATGTTAAAAAAAAAAAGATACTGGAGTATATCCTTGGAATTGATGCAGCCATTGTGGAACATAAAATATCTCGTATGGCTATGTCCTTGGATAGAAACATTCTGTTGAGGGGTTATGTCCTTGAAACCAAGGAGCCAGCTGCGGGGTAAGAGAAACAACTATTTTTGAAAACAGTCTGGCATTTGCTAATCAGCCAGGGTCAGTAAGCCTGCCTGATCACCCCTCCCTTGACCCTTGAGAATATTTTCTGTTCTGCAGCTGGTGCCTTGACTCTAAACATGATAGAAAGCCCAGCATTTTTCCTTCCTTCTTTCCCCACAAAGTTTTTTGTTACAGGGCTGGACTCAATGGAAGGAGAAG